AAGTGAAAACTTAAAAACAATATTTGAGAAATTTCGAGCATTTTTTTTATTTACACCAAATATGAACCGACTTGAAGTTTATTTTTTTTTTAACATAATTAAATTTCGCGTCGCACTAGTTTTTTATTTATTTATTTGAAAAATGAAAGAAGAAAACTGTTTACGTTGAATGCTTCCATGTTTGCAATTATTTAAAAAAATTATTCGTAAACATTTTTCCATAGGACACATTTAATTAAAAGAGGTATTTAATTTAATACATATATACATCCTCGCACATCTTTTAATATAGCTAGACTTTTCGCACTCACTTTCTTTGTAATGACTACCGCATTTAAGTAGATGCTTGTAGTTTTAGCTTTCACCATTCCTAACTCTCCAGTAGCCGTTTTGAGAGTCCTCAGGCTAAATGTACCAGAAATATTTCACTTTCCCTTCCTGAAATTTTGGTTACATTGTAGAAAAAAACAACAAAATTGTATGAATATATACATATATTATCATGCCATGTACTTGCACACCGGTGGCAATAATCGACGTATCGACGTTAGCGACCCGCATCAAAGCCGCCAGCAATTACTACCAATGCATCGGATGTTGCGTTTGGCTCTCGAAAATGTGCCACTAATGGATTTCCAATGCACAGCACTTGGCTTTTTAGCCTAGTTTGCTGTTAGGAAGCTAAAACAATGTCAATGTTATCTGAAAGCTAGTTGAAAACGTAGTTAATGGTCAGTTGGAATCGTTAGAGTTCATAAGCAATAAATCCAATTTTATGTTTCGAGTTCAAAGTGAATATTAGTGCTCGGTTTAGTTGTACTTTCGCATTAGAGTTGTCCTTATCCATGCATACTACTATTATTTCAAAAATAAAAATAAAAATGCCGTCTTAAGTAGTTATTTGCGCACCGTTATAAATGAAGTGTATTTTTTTGATTACATGTTTTCATTCCGCTTGATTTCCCAATTCAACGGAACGAACTGCAACATATTTTATGTATTTTCATGTGTTAAGCTGCATATAAGCCATGGCATCAATGACTTGGTCTGGGCACAAATAAGACCTTCATATTTACATAAACATGTATGTTTGTATGTATGTTGTGTGTGCATGTTTGTTAGAGAGAATCATGTTTGGGGTAAAGTTGAAATCCATTCGCATGTTGAGTCACCATAATGCCTTCATTGAGCGTGAAATTTTCACCGAATGGCAATCAAGCGAGTAAATATTCTGCATACATAAATATGTATCTACATTTTTAGTTGGGAGCAGTTCTACGAACAAACACTCACATCAAATTTCATACATAAGTTGTTCCAAATATCCGAAAATCAGGTTGTCGATTAGCTGAACGTTCTGAAATGAGACCTCGTTGAGCGTTTAGAAATTCACTATGCCACTGAGTTAAGCCTGTTTCGAGCAATTCTCAAATGAGAGCCATGAATGTAATTCATTTTTATTATTTCGATAATTAATAAAACATTGCGGTAAAAACTTCCCAACCTTCCTAAGTTAAACAAAGTTAAATTTGACTTTTAAAACAGTTAGCAACCCTGCTCAGAAATATTTTTGAGGAAAGGCTTTCTTTTATTACTTTCTTTTGACACCTGTTTTGTAACGCTTCATCTGACTTTTCATAAAATTAAACTAGATTTTTTTAATTGGTGGCAACCGTCTTCAAAAATATTTTGGAAATGGAACTTACGTTAACCTCCTTCTCCCCGTTTTATACCCATATTTAAATATTTAAATTAACTTGTCAATTAAATTGTAAATTAAATTTTGAGTTACTAAACGGGTGGCAACCCTTTTCAACAAAATTTTCCAAGTAAAACTTTTTAACC